ATGTGTTTCATTATAGGGTTGTGTCATGTGTTTTCACAATTAACTTTTTGTATGGTGTGTTGTGTATGGTTTACAGCCCCAAATCAATTTTTTTTAATGTTGTTGTTGCTAAAGACTTATTATTTGCAATTCAGTTTCTTAATGCTTAAATATTATGAACTTTTTCTTGTACATATTGTGTAGTGGATGATTTTTAAATACGTAAATGCATGCTACCATGTTATATTTGGGACAAAATGATTAGGTCAAATGCCGCGCACAAAGAGATTTACAGCAAGAAAAGGTTCAACATCATCATCTACTCCTCCAATCCTATAAACTCAAAATGTGCAGTCCAATGTTGCCATACAAAACGTAGGCCAAGAAGATCAAGTTTATTCTCCATCCCAAGAACCAGCTGATGTACCACTTGAAGTACAACGGGTTAAGAGAGCATGCAACAAATACTGGGTTGTTGAAGTTATAGGTATACCATTTAATATCTATATTGAGTTTTAATTTTTTTTATGTATGCCTATGTCATTATTTTTATACTAACAAAAAACACTAAATATTATGTTATAGATGATAGAGGAAGGAAATCCGAGGAAAGATTGAGGATCAAGGATGTTTTGGTACTGCCGGAACACAAGAAGGTTTTGTTACAATAGTCTGAAGATGGTCAACCTGTTGGGGATGGTTCTTCACTTTTGAATGGCTTTTTGGGACATCTTGCATGTAACACTAATCTATTCCCCATAAGTTATCCGAGGTGGCCTGATGTACTTCCCTGCTATAAGATTGATGTTTGGAAAAACACAATTAAGGTATATATGTTCTTTTAATTTACTTCAGTGACCTTAAGTTATTATGAATTGTTTCTGAATATTTTTCACATTGCAGAAAAAGTTTGACCTTTGCACTGATGACGAGCACGACTATTGTATGGGAAATATAGGTAAAAAGTGGAAGGATAATAGGCACAGGTTGTGTGTTGAATTTATTGACAAAAACAAAACTTTTGAAGAAAACCTAGAAAATTATCCAGACGGTATGACTAGAGAGCAGTAGGCTGGTTTTTTTGACTTATAAGACAACTGAGAAAGCACAGGTAATGAGATAAGCATGCATATATTTTCTTAATGTGGTTTACTTGACTACCTGTAATTATGTTTTGTGGGACAATGCAGAAATATAGTGAGATTAATACAAGAAATCGAGCAAAACATACTATAATGCATACACTTGGTGCTAAATCTATTGCAAAGACAAAACACGAATTGGTAATTCCGTAAATTATAATTTTTTTATTTATATCTGACATTGTTTGAATTTAACTAACATTTACCATATTGTCATTGCTTTAGGAAAAAAACTTGGACGCAAAATTAGTAGGGGGAGATGTATACCATTGGGCATAAGAAGAAAAATGGCAGCTTTGTTAGTGAGGAAGCTAGATCAAAGAATGTAAGTATGTTCTTTGTGAATAAGGAAGCTATAGATCCCTGTTGAATTAATATTTGATTTTGTTTTGTAGGACGAATTACTAGAAGAAATTCAAGATGTATCTGATGAAGATGAAGCCTTTGAACTTGTGTTTGAGAAGGAGCACTCAGGTCGCGTTAGAAGAATGGGGTTTGGGGTGGTTCCATCTCAATTGCGTAAGCGCAAAGCCTGTGCAGAATCATCTTCTAACAGTGGTCCTAGTCAAGCTGAGTATAATTCCCTTAAAGAAGAGCATAATTCCCTTAAAGAAGAGCTTGACACTTTAAAAGGACAGATGGCTGCAATTATACAGCATATGGGTGGTACACTACCCCCTAATTTGGTATGTGTGTATATATATTTTTCTTTGAGTGGTAGTTGAATTTTGAATAAAAAACAAGTGTCAGGTGCATTTGTTTGATTTGATTTAGCCTGCTGTTTATGATTTAGCCTTTGGGTTATTGCTAAATTCAGTAAATTACAAGTGTAAGGTGCATTTGTTTGATAAGGAAGTAATTGCCCTGCTGTTTATGATTTTGCCTTTGGATTAGTGCTAAATTCAGTAAATGTGATATGAAGCTTTTTGGATTGGGTTTATTTAAATCATCAATTAGCTTGGTTTGATTTTCTGGTCGAGTGTAAGGTGCATTTGTTTAGGTTGCATAATACTGAATTTTGTACTTCAATTTTGAACTTGTGCTGTAATTATTGTGATAGGTAATTAGGAGTTTTAGTCTCAGGAGCTCACCTGCTCTGTTATTGTGCCCACATTTATTTGTGCTATTTGGTTTCATAGAGTGATGTTGATAGTACCACCTATTGATGACACTATTGAAGGTTGAATAGTGTCTAGAATAGTGCCTACAACCGCATCTGATTAGAATTCCTAAATCAGTGATTTTCTGGTCATGTTTTCAAAAAAAAAAAAAAGTGATTTTCTGGTCAAGTGATGTTGATGGCACTATTGAAGGTTAAATAGTGCCTAGAATGTGACATTCGTATTAATTTGGTTCATGCCTGTAATGAATTCATTTCTATGAAGATTATCATTAATGTATGTTTTTTTTTTCAAATGTAACAGGATGTAGATATGGGCTCCCCAGGAATAAGAAGATCATCTAATGCGAGTCATAATCCAGCAGGCGGTTCATCACCTATTGATCCACCACAACCTTGAATATTTTATGTTGTCATTCATTATGGATTTTGCTTTATCTTGTCATAATTATGGAGTTTAAGGTTTGAGAGAGTCTAATGAATAATTATAATGTCTGAGGGGCTCTCTATCAGGCTGTTTTGAGGATTATCCTTCGATCTCTATTTTAGCTCTTGGAGACTTTTTCTCTTTTCGGTTTTTGTAGACTGGAAGCATAACTCACCTTGTGGTGAGGGGTGTGTCTAAATGTTATACTATGTTAAATATTTTGTTTTATAATTTCTCTTATTAGCTGATCAATATGCTATTTGTTATTCTTGTGATGAAATTATACCCTATTGTGCTTTTAATTAATTCTGGAAGAGTGTATGGACATGAATTCCTAAATGCAACAATTTAATTATTAAATCATTACATAAAAATTAAATAAATACAAAATGTATTTTGGAGGCTAACAAATAGCTTTATTATTAGTCAAATTGAAATGAATATTTATAAAAAAAATATTTAAATAAATATTGTTATAAAAAAATATTGCAATTAGTATTTAAACAAATAAAAAATCGAAACAAATGCTGTTTATTAAAAAAATTAAATAAATATATTTATATTTTATAAATCACATACCGCCTCATAATGGCATTTGAAGGCGGTTGATTCAATTTCTTAGAACACACAAAAACCGCCTCAGTATGACATTATGAGGCCGAATAGAAAACCGCTACAAATAGCGCCTAAGAATATTACCTAAAGGTGGTGTGTCCAACCGATCGAGATTAAAATTTTAAGGCGGCTACCTAATCGCCCAAGACTGAAATTTATACGCACTTATCTAAACCGCCTAAAATTGGTATTTCTAAGCGGTTTACAAAACCGCCTCTGATTGTATGCTTTAGGTGGGTATATGAACCGCCGGAAAGTATCTTTTGGAGTCATTTAAAAAAACCGACAGATAATGTACAACACAGCGGTCATAAAAATCGCTGCGAAGTATGCTGTTCAGGCGGGTGACTAAACCGCCGCATATTATAGTTTAGAGGCAGGTATTCCAGCGGTTGTTTTAAACCGCTTCAGATTGTCTCGCGGCAGAGTTAAAGGCGGCGATCTACGGACTGCGTTAAAGCTTCTATTGGAGGCGGTTTGAACCGCCCAAAAAAGAAAAAACAACCGCCTGGAATTGACCCCTTTTTTTGTAGTGAGATGTGACAGAAGGCGTATGTAATTCTTTCCTTCGATTCTCTTTCCATTTTCAACTCCATTGAGAACAACTGTATCAAGCAACCATGAAGAAAGAATTCTCGACTCACCCGTTTTGCCTTTAGAGCATCGGCGAGCTGAAACCGCTCTGTATTTTTCTGGTTAATCTCTTTATCAAGCTTATCAATTTCAGATTTAATGTTGGAATCATCATATGGCCGGAATCTGACAAAATAAAAAGAATGTGTCTGCTCAGGCGCAGTCCACTCTTCAACAGCGTTTTTTGGGACATTGGAATCTGAAACACCATTTCCTTCTGCTTTAGCAGTTTCATCTCCATGTGACCCAAATTTTATGGCCTCTCCATCTCCCTGAGCTTGTTCCAATTTCCCAATTTCACTCGAAACAGATTTGTCTCCTTCAGCACCTTTCTCCACTGGCCCTTGAACCATCTCAAATCCATCATTTTCAACCGCCATGTCTCCCACTACAGTACAGCCTCACAAAAGCCCAAGAAACCTAATTCCAAAACAAAAAATACTTCATATGAATATAGGGAACATTCCAACAGCATGTATAATTCAATAGTTTGGAACCACAGCCCTAACAATCAGCCAGACAAATGCCAACCCATGAATCAAACAGAACAAAATTTAGGATTGTTAACCATGAATATCAATTTAAACAAAAAAAGAAAAAAAGAAAAGAAAATGCAAGCCAAGGGTTTAATGAACTATGAACAGCTTGTTTGGTAAATACATACACGAATTCTTTCAATTTAATCACCATTAGACAATGATAGGAACCAACTGATATATATTTTGAAATGACGGTGAACAAAACAACAATCTATTGGTATTAATAAAGGAAGTCAGTTACAGACACCAAACCAATTCCAACATAAAGCAGGGCGGGAAAATTACAACCAAAAGGAAATTATAACTGGAAATGAAAGATAATGGGAGAGCAATTTGAGGAGCTCTACAATCCTCCCAATCTTTAGTCTAGCATCAGCCTAACAATTCCAAAATGCACAATCCTATTTAACAACTACTGCTAACAATGTCCTTTCCACCCTTTCTACCCATTTAGCCACCAAGTTTGTTATCCAAGTCAGCCATTCGGTTATGCATCTGCACGTCTAACAAATTGAGATCAGCACCAGTGGCCACGTCAGCATGAGGGAATTTTCCTCTAAAACGTTTCCTGGTATATGTCTTCAGGGGCCTATCAGACAATTTCAACCGTGCATGTCAAATGTACAAAGAGATCAATAGACTATATCATCTTCATTTCAAACATGCAAAATATATAAATGACAAAAAAAATAAAATAATAACATAATAATAAAAAGATTGTTACACTGAGATCACTGCTTGTTCCATGAACAAAACAGCATGCAAACCTTACTCTATTTTCTAACTTTTAGAAAAGTCCATTTACAAATTATGATATAGGTTCATCTTAAAAAGCCTGACCTAAAAGGCTCCATACTAACTTTTAAATTTTTTTAATAATATAATATATTTATCATATATATTATTCACTTAAAGACATATTCTGATATCATAATTTGTAACACTAATTTTCAAAGTAATAAGATTGATGTTATTTTAACAAATAATAAATATTTAAGAATATAATATAAAATAAAATTATTAAAGAAAGTGCAAATTATATGTATATATACATAAATTAGGTTTTTTAGTTTTTTATAATAGGTCAGATAAGACCTATAAATCAAGCTTTTAATAGGCTAATATGCTAGTATAGGCTCTAAATATTTTAGATAGGCTTAAGCTATCAAGCCAAAATCTGGCTCATTTGCACCTTTAGCCGCGACCAATGAAGAACATCAACATAGAAGGACAGGGAAATTTCCCAATTAATAATAAATATGGAACAATCAGTAACAAATGTCTAAAATTATTTAAATGACATTGGATTGACATAAATCATCTAATCAGTGATTAGATATTTAAAAAAATTTAAAAAAAGAAGAAGAAGTTGTTAACAGGTATGTACAAGAAATTTTCATACTCCATATATATACATATATCTTCATTGATTTTTGTCTTTAACAGTTTCCATTCCACTGATTAATTGCCAAAATTCTCATTCCTATTGAGAAATCAAACACAAATAATGCAAAAAAAACAATTCAATTCCATTATCAATAACAACTGTAACTCTACATTAAAATAATTAAAAAAAAAGATACACGTAAAACAACACTCTATTTTTCAAAAGAAATAAAATCAATAAATACAACCAACCACACAAAAAAGGGCATGAATTTTATTCATATTTGAAACACCCAATAAACAATTATGGTTAGCAAAGACAAATAATTTCTCTTTTACAAGGTTAAAAAATGTAAATCAAATTTTCCCCAGCAACCAATATAATTACCAACGCATATTCCAAGAACATGTATCCGTAAAATCTTGATAAAGGAACGAAACATCATACCTTGTCGCAGAATGGCTGAGTTTCGGGTGATGAGTGCGAATAAGAAAAAAATTAGAAGAAAACCCTAAATGTAAAAAGATGAAAAAAGAAGAAGAAGAAGAACAAATTAAGAAGAAAACAATCTGTTATTTGATCACACACGCAAAATAGCTCCAAATCTTTGTCTATTATCATTGTTACAATTTTAGCTAGAGCTAACTTACAATTTTAGCTAAAATCCAAATATAATTACTTATATAATTATATATAATAAATAAAATATATTAAAATGTAGCTGGGACAGGCCCTCACTAAATATAACTGGCACGTGGCTACGCCAGTGAATATGTAATTATAATAGAACGCCGGTTTAATTTGTTACCAAGAATTATATGATTGTATATGTTGAAGAAATTTAGCTTATTTTATTTGGTAGGATAACCATAAATAGTTATTCATGGAGGGATTGTAAGGTGGGACCAAATGTATCGAATCAGGTGATGGACCAATCACTACAACAAAAATGTTATTTAGCCACATTTAAAAATGTGGCAAACATTGATAAAAAGTGTGGCTAATTAACTTTACCACATTTTAATTAAATGTGGCTAATAGTGGTGTTGCAATAATTTAACCACATTATTTTATTCACTTTGCCACATTTTGACAGAGTGTGGTAGCTTTTTTTTAGCCACATTTATTGTTAATTTAGCCACTTTATAAATGTGGTTAAACTGTATAATTTGCCACACTAAAAAAAATGTGGCTATTTATGTATGAATTTTTTTTTAGCCACATTCTTCATGAATGTGGCTAAATATATGAATTTTTTTTTTTAAAAAATATTTCAAATTTAATAAAATTACATTAATAAAGAAAATAATATTAAATCGTGCAAAATAGTAAACACGATAAAACGTGAACCAAACTCCAAATCCTATATCCAATTTTGGATATGTAAGTTTTTTTATTGATATCATTGAAGAATTTATACAAGACATCAATTTTAAGTTATAAAAGAAAACAGGACAATGTTAAGTCACATTATGATGGATGGTACTAGAACACAATTGCATCATGGTCTCCAAATGAAAACATGGAGAAAAAAATATCAAAAGAAAAACCTATTCACCATCCAGTCCATGCTAGAAATAGATTCAGGCCCAACTCTGGTCTTTCTTTTGCAAAATTGAACATAAATGTGTACATGATCACAGTAGGCTCTGCCACTCCCAAAATCAGCAAAGGTTGACCGCCAATGATTGAGTGTATAATGCCACATATAGAAGTGGATACCAAGGTTTGAACAACTGTTAGAGCACCATCTGCAAGTGCAAACAATAGGCATATGTTATAAAGCTCATATAGTATGGTAATAATATTGTTCTATTTCCTAAGTTCTTTAAAAAAAATATTATATATTCCAAAAAAGAAAAAGGGTTGCAATTGTGAAGGCGAATAACGAGTGCAACATTGGGAGGACTTTATCTTTTAATACTTTTTTTTCAAGAAAAAGAATAATATATTGAAGCTAGAATATTCAGTACCTGTATTTCTCTCTAATTGTTCACCAAGTGAAATGACAGGTATTGCTGAAGCAAAAAATATATATGCCGTGGGGGCCAAAATCCTGTAAAGGGAAGCAAAAATTGTTAAAAGTTATACGTAAACTGCCACTGGTTGAAGCTAGAAACATTATAATCTTTCAGTATATAGACCACTAATGCCTAACATTAATTGACTATAGCATGACCCATCTTCCAAAGTGTTTGGGGGAATCAAGAGATGAAGAGACCAGCTCACAAGTTCAAATGTTTTCGGTCCCAAAAGACATACTCTTGTCATCATAGTATCTACCATATGTAGTTAACAACTTTTTCTTCTTTCAACAATACCATGAAACCAAAATAATCTACCTTGCCATCATACTCTTGTCTCAGCAATACTTCTAGAGCAATATATACAGGAGTTCCCACAGTTGACTTTGGTTACGAATGAAGCACTGAAGACTGCAAATAACAACATCAATCAAATTTCCAAGGTACAACAATGATCTTAAAACCTTAAAGAAAAGAAACTAGGATCTAATGATTGAAGTCCCTCATTAGATTGAAAGATGAAATATTTAAGTGCTTACAAGCCAGAAGAAAATTGAATCAATGAATTAAAAGGATGACAACAAAATACAAGTAAGTCATGGTGAATTTTAATTCCAATGTACTCTAAAACAAAAGACACAGATACAAGTATGCAACCCAAATAAAATTTACAGTCCAATAATACAGACATAATATCTTGGAATTAATCTCATAAAAGTGTCATAATTGCACTCATAAGAATGGAACCGGACTGCTTTACAAGAACTTATGTGACAATAAAGATAATAGTACAAGTGACCACAACAATAGTCAACTGGTAATTAAAAATGTAAACCATTATAAATAATTAAGAATAATAGAATGAGTGAACAATATTGCAAGCGAAAATTGTGTATCATTTTAAAGGACACAAAGTTATATCATTTTAAGTGAGAGAAAGAGATAAATCATGAGGGAGGGAATAAAGGAAAAAAGTTTTAAAAATGTGGGTCTCACCTCTTATGAGAGTAAAAGGATGTAAGGTGTGTCATTTAAAATGACACACCTTTTTCCCATAATGCAATGCCACAAGTGTGGACCCTTTCCTCAAAATTTGCAGGGCCACATGGTGACTGCTTAACCGAAAGCAACTTAGCTCCTGCAAAATTAAGAGTTAAGACATGCAATATTTGATTAGCAATACAACAAAAATAAAATAAAATTATCTATGTCCCCACTATCGAAAAAAAGAAAAAAGAAAATCCAAACTAACTAAACCACTTCCTAATATTAGTAATATAATTGAAATCAATAAAAGTTGTATAAAAAATAACCATGATGGATAAAAAATAACGATAACAACTATTAACATGTTATTCTATAATAAAAAAATAATATAAAATAAAATTTATAATTATAAATAA